CAACAACCACAACAACCACAACCACATGATGACGACATGAAGAAGATGAGCATAAAACCAATACCAAGGAAGAAGGCTGACACTACCAACGGGCACATAGAAACCATGCAAACCCCAAACCCTAAAACCCCAACCCTAAAACCCCGAACCCCAAACCCCAAACTCCTAAACCCGAAACCCGACACCCCCAACCCAAAAAACCCTATTAAGGAACACGCATATGGGTAGTACATATGCGTAGTTTTCTAAATTAGGGTCCCGTTTTGGGTCCCCAATATAGTACGGCACCCTTATTAAAAAAAAAAAGACCCCAAAAGGGACCGTAATTTGGAGAACTACCCCTATTGGAAGCATGGAGGCTCCAACATTTGGTCCGAGGCTCATCTGCACGGAGTAATGCAAGGGTGGGGCCGACAGGTGGGGCTGCAAAGTCGGATTCCTTTGCGGGTTTAGGGGTTAGGGTTTACGTAGGGTTTAGGCGTTTAGGGATTTAGGGATCTTGGGGTTTAGGGCTTAGGGTTTAGGGCTTTGGCGGTTTAGGGGTTTAGAGGTTATCGGGCTCCGGGTTCACAGGCTTTAGGGTTTAGGGCTTCGACTTGAAGATTGGGAAATCCTCTCAGGGTAGCTCTGTTAAGGTTCTACAAGGCTTCCTCAGGGTTTTAGCACTGAGGGTTTGTGTTTTCTCAGCCGAGTGCTTCTTCTAGGGGTTAGGATGGTGTAGGGCTTGGGGGTCCGGGGTCTTCAGTTGCAGGTTACAGGTGCAACCTCGGTTGGAGGAACACGAACTTCGGAAGCACAGAACCTCTGGGATTAGAGTCTGGGTCTCAGGTCTCGCGAAACCTGAACCACTGAAAAATTATTGTTTCTTTCTGCAGGTCCAGGTCAAGCGAATAGGCCGCAGGCCGACTGAGAGTTTAGGGCTCCACACGCAAACTCAAGCGAGAGAATGAGAAAGACTTCTCAAATGCAGTGCGGGACGCAAGAAACCCAGAGCGATTCCTGCGAGGAACGGCTGGCTTTGTAGCCATGCTCACCGCTCGCACCCTCTACATTTTGAGCTGGGGTATGTCCACTGAGAGACTTAGGGTGTAGGTCCCGGAACATTGGGCTTAGGTTTCTATAGGGGCCTAAATTAATACCGTCCCAGTGTTGAGGTACATTATAGTAGAGTCATGATAAGGAGCTCTATATGAAGGGTAGGATGCCCCGGTAGTCGGAGGCCCCAGGGTCCAATTCAGGAAGCCCCTCAAAGAATGCCCAAAGACTTCTTGAGTTCAGGCAGGGCCACGAGAACTTTAGGTGTTAGGGTTGAGGGTTTCGGAGTTTAGGATCTTGTCTTTCTGGAGGCCTCTTAAGAGTCCGTCCCTAGGGTTTCAACTCCTCCAAGGCGGAGCCTGCAGGCCCTGTTGAGGTGTAGGATGGTTTAGGCTCAGGGTTCCGAAGAAGATTTCACGTCTTGTGCCAGGGTATGTGTTGGAAGCTTCTGTCTCGGTGTCCACGAGGCAAGATGCGCGGAAAACGTTCGAGCCCTGAAAGCCGTATCATGATAGCCTTGAGCACTTTGCAAACTGCCACTAGCTTATACTGGTGGAAACAGTAGTGATAGCAGTGACAATGAACTAGCCATGCCCGTAGAACTGGTCTCCAGCAATTTGCTTATGTTGGCACGATTCTGGAGCCGAAAAGTTGGTACAACAAGCGGAAGATTCGGAACGGTCCTTGTAGAAAGCATCCTACTACTTATCGTCTCCCATTCTGGCCCTAAACCCCAAACCCTCCCATTCTGGCCCCTTGCATCCTCAAACCGAGAGGAGCGTCCTGAAACGACGCAGTTCACGCACGCCAGGAGGACTTTTGGAGAGAAGTTAAACCTGGTCGGTTTAGGGTTTAAGGTTTACGACTTCTGGTTTAGGGCTTAGGGTTTAGGTTTCAGGGTTTAGGGCTTAAAGCCCAGGGCTTATGCTTTGTTTTGAGGGCTTAGGGCTTAGGGTTTAGTTTCAGGGTTTAGGGTTTAGGGCTTAAAGCCTAGGGCTTAAGCTTTTTTTGAGGGGTTTAAGGCTTATATAGGGTTTAGGACTTAAGTTTAGGTTTTAGGGCCTAATAGAAGTTGAACCTGATCAGGCTCAAGCCGGCTTAGGCTTCGGCAGTGTGGGGCTGGCGCCTTGCACAGGAGTACTGTCGGGTCAGACGGTGTAGGAAGGAGAAGGACCCAAATTCTTGAGGGCATGTAAGTGCTCGAAGTAAGATCCGATGGTAAAGACCGCGTGTTCGGCATCTCTCCACCCAAGCTGCAAACGCCCCGTGCCTCCCTTCCTTCCTTGCGCTAGCCCTTCCCGTAAAACCAGGGTTTAGGTTTTAGGGGTTTGTTTGACACCCCTTTTCTCCCGCCCCTGTTAGGTCGGTTGAACGCCAAGTTGGCTGAGGCTGTAGCTTACACCAATGGCCCACGCCATCAACCCCACACTAAATACCCGTGACCGTTTAGGGCCTAGGGTTTTGGCTTCGGGGTTCAGGCCCTGGGGCATAGTAATGGTTTAGGGTTTGGGGGATCCGGTTTAGGGCTGCAAAACCCTAAACCCTCAACCCTTGTAGGGGATTACGGTAGGGGCCTTAACAAGTAGAACAGGGTGTTGGGGCTTCTGCACTGTTGATTACTCGGCCTTCTAAACCCTAAACCCTAAATTCTGAACCCTATCCCCTCAACCCAAAACCCTACACCCCAAACCCTCAACCCTAAACCCTACACACTCCACCCTAAACCCTAGACCTTCAACCCTCAACCCCAAACCCTAAACCCTAAACCCTAAACCCTTGTACAGCATTACAACTTGGGGCTTTGCTGCCCAGGCCACAGGCTCGGCTGGCTCTGCGGAGGGCTCGGCAGCTTCGGCAAAAGAATGGCCTGATACAAATATATATATATATATATATATACACACATACATATACATGTATGCATATCTATATATATATATATATATACATATATATATATATATGTATAGATATGTTCATACTTCTAACTATCCTTTACTGTGAACTCTTGCTGTATGCAAATTATGAGTGATATTGTTATTGTAAGTAACCTGTTCAGTCATAGTGCACATACCTTGTCTGTCATTATTGTTCGTATATTTCATGCTGTCGTTATAGTTGTTAAGTTTATTTATGGTTGTTATGATTATGAGGCTTTATGGTGGTAGGTTTTTGCTACGTACTACTACTCTTATTCCTATGATCAGTTTGTGTTCGCTGCGATATGTCCACGGATGCCTAACGCCGGCCGGCCGTGTGAAGTGTGTAGTTTTGAGTTTTGGGTTTTGGGTTTTGGGTTCACGTAGGTCAACCTGGTAGACACATCGGCGACCGCTCCGCTTTCAGCGTTCAGCCTTAAGCGGAAACCCCTCAGACTTCATGAAACCCCTCGGGGTGAGTTTGCCGAACCCTTCAGCACATCCAACACGGCTTCTCAACGCTCCAAGCGTCTTTGAAAGCGATGAGACCCCTCACTCGCCGCAGCCTTAAGAACCCCATACCACCCCCAAAAGAAATTCTAGAACCCTAGAACTAGAAGCTCCTAATGGAATTCTAAGACCCTGGAAGCTCCTAGTAGAATTATAGAACCCTAGAAGCTCCTAATGGAATTATAGAACCCCAGAAGCTCCTACAACTTACTAGAACCGCACACCCTCCGAAGAATTCTTAGCGCTGAGGCCGCCGCCGTCAGCAGTGAGAAAAGCAGCTCCACGAGCCCCAAGACCACAAAGGGCAGCACGTAGCCTGGGCAATGACTTCTTTGGGGGGGGAGTTGAGATAACTGGGGGTTCCTTATAATGCTATTACTGTTCTTATTACAGTTATTATTCTTGCTATGACTCTTATTGCTATTGCTATGGTTATGGTTACTATTACTACTACTATTACTATTGCTACGACTACTGAGGGCTTAGGGTTTATACTAGGCTTGGGAGATTTGCCATCTGCTCGCGAGGACAGGGATTATGGATAATGGGGTTTAACGTTTCGGGCTTGGGGTTTACTCCCTGAAACTGTCGAGGTTTCAATGTTCAGCGTTTAGGGTTTAGGGTTTAGGGTGTAGGGTTTAGGGTTTGGCTTCAACGTTCCATCTAACAGCTTTCTATCGTAACGATGCTCCTCCTTCTCCTTGATCTCATCATTTCTGGGGTACTGCTGGGTTTCGGCACAGCTCATCACCCTAAACCCTAAACCCTAAATCCTAAACCCTAAACCCTAAACCCTAAACCAAACCCTATTAACCCGAAGAAGTCGTACTTCCAAGATGCCCAAGTGCGAGTCGCCTCCAGCCAGACCGTACCTTTGCCCGTGTGAAGGTTTGGGGAAGTGGGGTTTACTGTAGGGTAATGTAGGGGCCTTAGTAATTAGAATAGGGTTCTGGGGGCTTATTACAATTATATACAATTATAGTATAATATACACCTAGGGTTTTGGCGGGTCCTTCTTGCAATTATAGTATAATATACCCCAAAACTTACTACTAAGACCCCTACATTACAGGGGTCTGGGTGTCAGGTCTGGGCCATTGTTGGCTCGTTAGCTCTGCAGAAGGCTCGGGTCGCCATAATGGGTGGGGACAGCCTGGCTCTGCCGATGGATCATAAACCAAAAACAGAACCCTAAACCCTAAACCCAAAACCCTAGGGTCTAGGGTTTAGGGTTTGTGTCAAGTCATCGAGGATCTCCAATTTCTTTATTTTCTTTCTTTTACATCTGTACATGTGGCCCAACTATCGAGTACGGCAACTGCGACAGCATGATCCCGGCAGGAACGGCATGAACAAAGGTCGACGTCTGCGAGATCCGTCTACTCCTACAGAATATAAGGCATAAACATAAACCTCGAACCCTGAACAATAGGCTGGCGGCAGAGAGGAGCCCACGATGGGGCCGAGGATCATGGCCAAGCCATTGACACCTCGTGGTTGCCGGAGGCAGTGTGGAAAAGGACAGAAGAGCCACAGCACCACAGCTACAATACATCCTCGACTGTCAGTGCTGTGCACATGGAAGGTTAAGTTTAGCTGCTCTCCTTGGACTCTCTTCCAGGCTTCCCACACTGGTTCTGCCCGCCTGCTCTCTGCCCAAGGCTCTGCAGCAACAGCTGCAGTCGATATTGCGATGATGACCAACATGCAAACTGCTAGCATGCTCATAATTGAAGTGATCGGGGCCGTCATGATGGCACGGTCATGATCATGATGACGCGGAAGCAGACGAATGGGGTTGGAACTATGGTGATGATGCCATGATGGCTGTGATGGCAGCAGTGGCAGCGATGGCAATGACGGCAGTGATGGCATTGATGATGATGGTGATGATGATGATGATGACGATGATGATGATGATGATGGCGAACATGACCAAGATGGTGATCATGATGGTGATGATGCCCATGATAGTGATGAACATGATGGAGATGATCATCATGATGGTGATGATGACGATGATTATGATGATGATGATGATGATGATAATGATGATGATGATGATGAGGATGAGGATCATCATGATGGTGATGATGATGATGAAGATGATGATCATCATGATGGTGATGATGATGATGATGGTCATCATCATCATAATCATCATCATGGCCACCCCTCTTCAGTCGAACATCAAAACCAACTAGAAAGCGCAACACTGAAAAAGCTAATGTAAATCATCATGTTGAAAGCCAGTGCATCTGGCCTAACTATGAGCGATGTGGAAAAAACTGGGCACGCGGAAAATGGATGCTGCCGGCGAGCCAGTACTACGTAGTCATTGCACACTTGTATTATTGATTCGAGATGCGACGGTGCAAACGGCAGTGGCAAAGGGTAGTCAGCGCGATCGTCACGGGAAACGGACGATAGCGTAGTAGTAAACTTCCTTCGCACCGGTTCCAGCAGCAGTTGCTGTCATACTGCATACATGCATATATGGCATATATGCATACATGCATGCATTACATATAAGCACGGATGCATGAAACCCCCGGTTCTCGAGAGGTGCACCTTCGAGGATGCCAGTGGCTGTGCTGACGTTCTGACCGAAGAGGGCGGAGAGCAGGCTGTAACCTACGGTCTTTGTGAGAGGGATGGGGGCGGCGGCTGCGGCATGAGATAGGATGAAGGCCTAAAAATGAGCCTTTGGGGTACAGAGCAGTGAAGAGATTCTACCGGAACTCGTGCTGCCGAATCTTGAGGCTCATTGCTTTTATGCTCGCTGTTCTTTGTACTACCATCACTACTGATAGAAATAATCACTACTAATTACTACTACTACTACTACTACTACTACTACTACTACCTGCATGACCCTTTAGATCTTAAGCATACAGTCGCCAGTGATCGAAATCCCCACGCCATCTAATCTCCATGTCGATACCACAAAACAATCATGCAGGAATGCGGTCATTCGCGCACATTTCCTTGTTGACAATGTTTGGACACTGAACAGAGAAGTTCAGGGTTTGGAAGGGATGGCGGGCACAAGAAAACAGATGCAGGATTTCGTCCATCAAGAGTGTGGTGTACTCCTCCTACCAGCACCGCGAAGAGTGCTGTCATCACTGTCATCGTCACTGTCACTGTTGGCAGAGGCACCTGCGGTTGACTCGAAAGAAAAAGCGAAGCCGGCGACCACACGAAGCAGCAGGCAGCACACGATGAAGGGAGCCCCATCGCCTGGGTTTGGCGAACAAGTGCAGTCAGGCCAAGTCAAGCCATCAGAAACGAACCAACCACCAACAATCAGTCTCAAGCTAGCCGCCCACGTACCAGCAGAGGCCGTTCAGAATGTTGGCCATACCACCAAGGAAATTCCCAGCAACCAGGATGGGCTTGCTCCCAGATCTCACCAGCAGCCGGGTCCTCAGAGTGTCGATCTCGGAAACTGCTTCAGGACTTGGCGGTCTGTATTGAAGATTGCAAGCTTCACAGAACAAGGCGGAAGAGGGCCATGTTCAGAAGATTCTACAACTGTGAGCCTTCTCAAGACGCGGGTTTAAGGCTCCTTGCAGCTCAGAGGCGTGATGGGTGTGCCGACCATTGTGGCAAGCTCGAAAATCGAGAAGATCCAGCCCAAGGCAGTGCCCTGCACCATGGGATACCGTAACCCTGCTGCTTTGGGAAGGCAGGGGCTGGAATGTTCACACATGCTTCGTGAACATCTGGGCTGAGCAGTCGCGGCGGTATCAACCGGAGAGGCAGAACTAGAAGCCGTCATCGTCTTCAAATCGTCTTCGCTGCACAGCGGCGGAGAATAAGGAGCGTGACAATGAAGAGAATAAAACTAACACTGATGCTGATGATGATGATGATGACGACGACTGTGGTGATGGTGATGCTGATGGTGGTGGCGATGGTGATAACAGTGGGAACGGCTGTGATGACGGTCGTGATGATTCTTGCTTCCCCTCGCCATGAAAGAGTTCTCGATGCGGTCTGTGGGCAGTGGTGTTACCACCGGCATCCGAAGACGCGACTATTCGCCCCCGAGCTAAACAGCAATCCCATCTGGGACGGCCGCACCGCGAAGAGCCCATAAGCAAACCGACCAGTAAACGACCATAGATGTGGTGACGATGATGATGATGGTGATGATGATGATGATGATGGAGGAGGAGGAGGATGGTGATGGTTCGATGGCGGGGACGTGGAAGATGCGCTGCTTGACACTGGTGGTGATGCTCCTGGCATATCAATGATAGGCCTCATGCTGCTAGTGACGAGCTTGATTCTGCGGATGAGAACCAAGACACACGATGAGGGGATGATGATGATGATGGTGATGATGATGATGATGATGATGGTGGTGGTGATGATGGTGATGTTGGTGATGATGGCGATGATGATGGTGGCGATGAAGGTATGTGATGATGATGATGGTGATGATGATGATGGTGATGATGGTGACAGCGATGATGATGATGATGATGATGATGATGTCCGTGCTGATGATGGTCATGGTGGTGATGCTGATGGTGCTAATGATGATGGTGATGACGATGATGATGGTGATGATGATGATGCTGGTGCTGCTGGTGCTGCTGGTGCTTCTGGTGGCGGTGACGGCAGCAGCGGCGGCGGTGGTGCTGGTGATGCTGGCGATGCTGGTGATACTGGCGATGCCATACCAATGGTGAGGACAGTGACGTTGATGACAGGAACTGCACCGGTGCTGCTGGTCATGATGCTGAAGATGCTGATGATGATGCTGATCTCCATCAGCAGTAGCATCGCCGTCGTCAACATCCCGATGTCGATGAAGATGAGGCTGGTCATGCTGATATATGCTGATGCAGATGCTGATAGGGATGCTGGTGCTTATGGTGATGGCTGGCAACATGGTGCCGATTATGATGACCTTGGTGTGGAAACTGTTCTTTGGAGGTTTGGAGTGCATCGTTGTGGGCGCTCACGCGAAATCCTAACTAAAGACCAGCCCCAAACCCCCTGCCTGGACGCCCTTCTCCTTTGCCTCTGCTGGAAAGAACGGGGCGATTATGGAGAGCCCCAGCTGGCCACAGAAGGTTCCGATCACGATCAAAGCAAAGATGCCTGCAGCTCGAATCGGCAGGCTCGGAATCTCAGAAGAGTTGAGGTCAGACCCTGCTTCTGGAATACTGGGACCACGTTCCAGCTGAGTCCATGCTGGGCCTTCAAACGAGTTCTAAGCCTCGGCTCGAGTGCTTTCCAACCGACCCCTGAACACTTTTTTTGTTAGCCAAATCACGGTCTCGGTGAGGGGGCGGAGTGAACACCTCCTCGCCACAGGTGCTGCCTGTGATAATTGGAGGCTGAATCGGTTCTGCAGGCTTGTATGTGCATGTGTGACACTCCGCCAGTCAGCCAATCTGTCTGTCTGTCTCTCTGTCTGTCAGTCCCAAAGTGAGTGAATGTCTGTGTCTGTCTGTCCGTCCGTCTGTCGGTCTGCATTGGTGTTTCTATGAATGTGCGCGCAGCGCCCGAGATTTCGTTGTGTATTCAGCAGCTTATACCTGGCTCATGCTCATGTGAAGTGTACCTGTACCTTAACTTTGATCAAGGCCGACGCATTATGGGGAGCGCGATCGCTCGGTGCAATCTGAATCAATTCACTGTGAACGAGTTAGAGCGAGAG